ATATTAAGTTGGTCTAAAAATAATCGAGTCTAGACGAGACAAATAGGGATTGACATCATTGGGATCGATCTACGTAAATGAAATACGATGACATGCATCAACCACGCCGTCGAGTCTGACCACACGATCCCGTTAGTCGCCTCTTACGACAAACATGGGTTACTGAAGGTCAATTCTGATCGGTATCATCACGGGACTTAATATTATTAAGAGATAATGATGTGAAATAAATGGGAGAACTTCCAAATATATACTAAACAGCAGGAACTAAAAGAAACTACACATTTGGAAATTGGATTTGACAAAAACATTCCTAACTTTATCAAAACGTTACTAGGGGAAAAACAGTCGCCGATCAACTGCAAACTTAAGGTCCAAAACACAACAATGATACCGGTATCAATTATATCACGACCGAATAATCATTTCTTGCTTTGCGGACACAACGGAGTACGATGACACGCCAAGCCAGCCAGGCATAGTTAGAAATATGTTGATTTTAAGGTGTATAAACACACAAACCAGAAATGCGTCATCACTTCTCAGCAGCCATTACGCCACCCGATCCCCATCTGAGATGCATGCGACAAGGGGCCTCCGCCCTAACCCCTAGGGGCTGTATGATAAAAATATCTGATAGCACGGATAATAAGATAACATGTAAAAGCTTTGACCAAATGCTTTAAGTAGAAAACTCGTCTTTCCCTGGAGATCTCCAAACTGATGAAGCAGCAATAACGGATATCGTCGATAATCGTTATCGGTAATCACAACGCCGTGGGCGACGTGGAATGCTTGACCTTAGAGCAGGACACCCACGGTTAGCAGTTCACTTGGGCAGTGGTCAGTGGCCGGAACAGGTTTCACGCCGGAGTGGTGACGGTGATCATTGCAGTGACAGCTGATGCATCTACACTGAGTAACAGGAGAACGTCACAAAGGCTAGCTTTAAGTGTAAGTTTATACTTTAATGCTTTTAGTAATCTATGTTGTGGGTCTAAATACTCATTCTCTTGACACACGAAGGTAAAGTGTTTGTTATTTTACGCCGCAGTCGGCAATATTCGAATATATGGCGAGTCCTACGTCACTTTAGCACCTCTTTAGTGACATCATGACGATGGCCATTGCTGTTCCGTGTCAGTTGATACACTGTTGCCATAGAAATCAGAGAAGAATAAGATTATGATTATTTCTTAAAAAGTGTATTTATTGAGATTGCATTTTCAAAGTATGTCACTGTAGTAAGATTGTCTTCATAAGACACAGTCTTGATCTGGTAGTCAGGTCATGGGTCCCCTATGATTCGAATATAAATTATATATAAAAAACATAGGCGAGAACGCGTCAATACTTTAAGAGCTACAAAAACGCAGATTGTAAAAACAGAAGTGATGAGAAAATACACCACGTTAAATTCCGCATCGTTCATGTCGTACTTATATTTTAAACCTGACAATATTTAAATTATTATATATCCTATTATTGACCGTCCTGTGCCATGACTATGGAATTCATTAAAAAAAATATGTATTGCGTAAAGCCTAAGCAAGTCTAGATCAAACTAAACCAAGTCTAGTTTACTTGATTCCACAAAACAGCAGCGGAGAAAAGGTTCTTTTGACAACAAATAAATTGCGGAAAGGTTAAAGAATTTCTTTTTATTTCTTTTTAATGTCAGCCTTTAATTTTCATCTCAGGCACTGAGTATAGGCAACAATGCAGTTGCATGAAATCACGTATAATGTGTAACAGTCGATATATAATAAACACATTTTGTTCATGATTTTAAATATGAAATTATAAAACTCTGTGTAAATGTTAAGCCATCTCCAAGACGTTGAAGAAGAAATTAAAACTGAATCCGACTCAAGTCTAGAATGATTTGGCAAGTCTAGGTTGCCTCAGCTCTAGGTCTGAAATTAAGCATTGTTATGGGTTCCATTTGAATTTTACTTTTTATTTTGTAGATGTGTATTTTATAAATAAGATAAGTTTATTTCTGGGACATAATATTGGTCAAGGCGAGTGTCAGATTGAGCAGATATTATTAGTTAGTTTTATCACAGTGACAACTTGGGTTTTCGGAGGAAAGTCAAAACGGTCGTAAATATTTTGAACGTTTATGACACCAGGGATCACAGGCATGGTACTGACAAACCACCATATAATAATATAATATACAGGGTCTATCCAGAATTCGAACTCAGGTCTAGAGGACCCACGTCATCTGGATCTATCACTCCTGACGTAGACAGACACTAATCATCAGGAACATGGTAAACGTTTAGCCCAGCCAAACTTCAACAGATATTTTCCAAATCCTTTCATGTTTCTAATCAAAGTGCTCACATAATTTGATGCACTTCGCGGGGCAAGACCCGTTTTATCACAATATAGATCTTGATTATCGAGCTGATCATCTTGATTGGGTGCCGCCATTTTGTTTGAAGCAAATGGAAGTGATGTAAGAGGTTGATTATTAGGAGGGATATACAAGGGACATAACTCGTAATCGCTTGTGCTGAAAAAATACGATCAAGCCCAGAAATTCCAACCTAGTTCGACAAGGAAACTGGACTTTTAGCGTCAGCTAACTCCCTTGCCTCGGGAAGATCCGTGAAACCCAACTCACACACTCAAACAGTCAAAGCAGCGTTAAACCAACTCACTCATTCAAAGCGTTATTAAACCCAACTCATTTCAACACACTCATGTTTCAGATACCGCCATCATGTTTTCAAGGTCACTGAGTAAGCCGAGGACAGCACTGTCCATGTTAACAGCCTTTTGTGTTGTCGGCTCCCTCTACATCAGTGGGTTGCTCAGACACGTACTGAGAGGAGGCAACTGGTAAGTGATGTTATCTTCGTGTGATGAAGTTTGGGAGGACACTTTAGAGTAGCATTACTCCGTTACTCCGGACACTTTGTTATGTGTACAACCGTGTCACAGTCTCCCAGGGGGCACGGGTGGCCCAGTCGTCTAAGGCGCCGCGAATAGCTGTGCAGAGTTGCGTCCCTTGGGCACGCCAGAAACCTATGATTGTGGGTTCGAATCCCGGTTCGCCTCGATTATGTTTCTAGGTTTGTCAGCACCATACCCGTGCTCGTGGGTTTCACCGAAGTGGTAAATGTCTGAGACCTGCATCACTTTGGGCTTTCCTCCCACATTAAGCTGACACGCCGCGATATAACTGGAATACTGTTAAAAGCGGCGTTAAACCCAACTCACTCACTCACTCACTCACTCACAGTCTCCCACAGGTGCAGAGTAACATGCCTTCACTGCGGGAAGCGAGAACCTATTTCGTAATACGGCTCTTTTGATTTGCCGTGATTCAATATTTCACGTTAAGAATTAGCTGTTAGTTATTTCTCAACAGTCCTGTTATCCTGAATTTGCCAATAAGTGAATGTGCGATGTATTTTTTTCTCTCGTGAATTGTTATTATTCGCTGTCAGTTTTATGTCGAAACAAGGAATACCATGTGGTAAATTTGGGGCACAGCCTAAAGCTATCAAGAAACGCCCGAGACGGTCCGTCTGAAGTTTTTACCAAGTATAACAAGACTATGAAGTGCAGCTCTAGTTTATACAATCAAAACACAAACTTAGCAATAACATGGTGCAAGTTACTATCGGATTGCTACGTAAAAATGGATTATTTACTATCTCTATGAAATATGAACTAATTTAGACAATAATTACCTGTGATCTGTGAAAAGGTGGTTTGAATTACCTGTGAACACTAACTGGGCATAGGTATTCCCAAGGTATTAGATATATTGACAATACAAGCATTGACAACTGTGTTCATGTTCTTTCAGGACTTCAGATTATCGATTTGCAATGGAACAGTGCCCGAGGCAATTTCAGTATTGCTACGAACGTGTATTACAAAGGTACGCTGACACTACAGCATGTTTGTTTGTTTGTTGTTTAACGCCGCACTCAGCAATATTCCAGCTATATGACGGCGGTCTGTAAAAAATCGAATCTTAACCAGACAATCCAGTGATTGACATCATGAGCATCAATATCAGATCTCCGCAATTGGGAATCGGGGGCACGGGTGGCCCAGTCGTCTAAGGCGCCGGGATTCGCTGTGCAGAGTTGCGTCCCTTGGGCACGCCAGAAACCTGTGATTGTGGGTTCGAATCCCGGTTCGCCCCGATTATGTTTCTAGGTTTATCAGCACCATACCCGTGCTAGTGGGTTTCACCGAAGTGGTAAACGTCTGAGACCTGCATCAAGCTGACACGCCGTGATATAACTGGAATACTGTTAAAAGCGGCGTTAAACCCAACTCACTCACTCACTTAATTGGGATTCAATGACATTCATCAAGTCAGCGAGGCTGACCACCCGATCCCGTTTGTCGCCTCTATTGGATGTATGTCATCTTATGTGAAATGCATCGTTGCTTACGTTATCAGCCGACCGCCTTCGTGGTCAAGTCGTAGACCTTCCGCCCGGACAACTGGGTCCTGGGTTCGATCCCCGGCCGTGTCAAGCCAAAAGACGTTAAAAGATGGTACTTGTTGTTATCCTGCCTGGCGCTCGGCATCAAGGGGCTAAAACAAGGACTGGTCGGCTCGGAGTCAGTATACTGTGTCTGAGTGGGGTATTCATGTTAAACTGCGGCATGGTATCTCTGTTGGCTGGTGCTATACAATGGGTTTTAGTCCGGACTAGTACAAATAGTTGCACACACTCGCGCATGCACGTCGTTATATAAGTGCAATAATCTTGGACGCGGCGTTAAGTCCCATTTCACCTCACGTTGACAAACATAGGTCTGTCTGGTCCAAAAGCCAGAATATTGCTGATTCGGAGTCAACAAACATTCGCCCAATGTAGTCATTGGCTTACGGAAAAAACTCACACAATGCATCGACCCCGGGCATCTCTGAACATCAATTTTCTGTCTGCAGGAATGTCGCACCGAAATGGATTGTGTTATGGATACCGGCCAAGTCGGAAGCGGATGTGACGCATATGACTCAGATACCCGGATGGAAGACAGTTGTCGTTGGAGATGGGAAATGTCCACAAGGATGCAGGTTTGTAGTACTCCATTGAAATTGTGTTATGATCGTTTTAGTTAACACTATTTACAAAAACTAGTCGAAAAAGCAGTGTAATGTTTATTGCTTGAATGGAAATGTCCGTGTATGACAAAATAACAACTATACAATATTTGTTAACATATTCGAGAGCGTTTTGTAATGTACAAAGTTAAACTGATAGACAATGTTATATATAAAGTGAGCGATAGATTCTGACAACGTTATCGAACGAGAGATAGATCTATCACCGCTATCAAGTGACAGATAGATTCTAACACACTTATCAGGTGAGAGATAGACAGATTCTGACACCGTTATCAAGTGAAAGATAATTTTCTAAGATACTTATCAAGTGAGAAATGGACAGAGCCTAACATCCGTATCAGGTGACAAGGTGATCATCACTTAATTACGGACCGCCGTCATATAGCTGGAATATTGCTGAGTGCGGCGTCAAACAACAAACAAACACAATCAAACTTAATAACGGATTGAGAATTTGCATAGAAACGTCGCTACAATTCTTATAAAGAAGCTGATAATTTTTTGTTCTTGGCAATAGTTACGTATCCAAAAATGCCTTCCAAAGACCTAGAACGTGTGTTCGAAAGACATGTTCACATAATTCATTCCATTTTCCATATGTTTTTGCACTGTATTGAATTATTTCAGGTTCCCAGACTGTGTGTTCCTCGACCGCGAGGCCCAGGATTATCTCCCCTTCTCAATGGCAACATCACTCCCACGTGACAACCCAGCCAGGAAGAACCTAGGCTACCTCTACGCCATCCAACAGCAGGCAGAGTTCATCTACGACACCGATGTCAACACCCGACCCCTTGACAGCCTCACCAGCTTCTACTACGGTAACACCTCAGGGTTGGTCTACCGAGGAGGGCAAGTCTTCAACTACTACAGGCACTACGGCGAGCATTGGCATCGACCTCAAGGAATGGTGGATCTTAAGTTACCTGAAACGAATCCAAATGATTACGTTCTCAGTGATATTCCTCAACCGGAAGTTCAACACGGCTTGATCAAGGCCAAGGACGATTCAGGGCCTCGTTTTCAATCAGTTGCGCCTCTTGCCTTTGTTGGATCCGAATCAGTGGCTCCCTTTAATGCAAGGAACACCATGTTTAGCAGACGTGCCTTCTGGGGTCTTTTGTTGTTTCCCGTCCCTAACAGCGACGTTATAAGGTCGTACATACTTCAGTCTTTATTAAAACATATCCAAGGATTTGTCGGGTTTTTGCCACCAAATGCTGAAGAAATGGACACGTTGCCAGACTTCAAAGACCTTAAAATTCCCCAAACGTTTGTGTCCTTATTATATCAATGGCAATGTGAACGCACGACCTTAAGTCAATGTTTCCAACTGCTTTCAACAGTCCTGTTGGACGGAGGAATAATCTCCGATGAAGGGGTTGACATGATATCAACCTGGATGTCCGATTTGCTTTCACTCGGCTATGAAGGACTTTCAGTGGATACAGCTGAGGCGGCTAAAATGATTCCAAAAACAAATAAACTCGGCCATGGAGAAATGTCAAATACGGTTCAGTTTTCTCCGACGCCCGGCGTACACTATAGCAACAATCCCGCTTCCAAGAACTTTGAGTGCGTAGAAGGTTTATGCGACAACTTTACCTATCCCCCTGAAACCCCGCATCAATTTAATGATGTCCTCCTTATTATTACTTTCAATTATGCTTTTCTGTATGACAATATCAACTTTGTAGAGTCACTGTATAGGCGATACTTCCCTCATATCCTGTTCTGCGGACCCAACATAAAAAGGTTTCGCACCGCTGTGACGTCACTTCCGGCCAACTCATCTGTGGCGTACGTGACCGGGATTGAACGAGGCTGGTTGTACTTCCAGGAATGTACAGTGTACGGCATGAAAATGAACTTCAATGTTAAAGGATATCTACAAATAGGAGAAGACACTTTGCTAAATACTTGGAATTTGTGGACACTCCCGAGAGAGAAAATCTGGTTTAATAAAGGACACATAGGCATGTGGAGACACCTTGAGAACAAATGGGTGTGGTGGTCCAGGCCTTATGGTAGGACGGCACTGAATAAAACATTCACGTTTATTGAATCAAAGGCTCGCGAGTTTGGGGACAGTATGGAGAAACGATTCTACAACCAATATATTGACAATGTCCATAACAACTTCAGACAGGTGTTTCATCGGACATGCGATTTCTTTTACATTCCTAATCGCCTCAAAGACGAATTTGTTCATTTTACAAAACAGTTTTTCGAGTCGACTCTGTTAGTGGAAGTAGCCATTCCGACAATGATCATTGGCTTGGACGCTGAGGAAAACATTGTCCGCGTCAACGGCAAGGTGGTGTGGGGGTCTTACAGGAACAAGCCAGAGAAGTCGTTCAATGCTGACACGGATCACTTCCTGCATGCATTCAAAGGCAGAAAGCAGATGAAACTGCCGAACTGTAAGAAGTTCATGTGTGAGAAGTACTTACCCTTATCAGTGGAGAGGATGATGAACAGTTAGTACAATCAGAGAAAACCATACCTCATCTTTACAAACGCTTTCATTGTATCACTGTTTATTGTAAATATACATTCGTGTAAATATACGTTCACGTTCCTTTTTTGTATTTGAAATCATACCTCATCGTAACACACACTTTCATTGTATCACTGTTTATTGTAAATATACATTCGTGTAAATATACGTTCACGTTCCTTTTTTGTATTTGAAATCATACCTCATCGTAACACACACTTTCATTGTATCACTGTTTATTGTAAATATATATTTGTTTAAATATACGTTCACCTTCTTTTATGTGTATTTGAAATCATACCTCATCGTAACACACACTTTCATTGTCACACTGTTTATTGTAAATATATATTTGTTTAAATATACGTTCACCATCTTTTATGTGTATTTGAAATCATACCTCATCATAGCAAACACTTTCATTGTGACACCGTTTCATTGTAGATATACATTTGTTTAAATATACAATGACCTTCTTTAATATGCATTTAATTGTTTATTTTTTTGTGATGATCGTGTTATCGGAATAACCAAAATTTGATTTCTTGTGACTTATCGTATGGTGTATTATAACCATTATCACAGACAGCGAGTGACAGGTAATGACACCAGAGCTTCACGTGGCAGAGGAACGTCTTATTACATTTTACCACTTTGGTGAAACCAACGAGTACGGGTAAGGTGCTGACAACCTTGATGGCCTGGGTGAATCAAAACCATGATCAGCGGATCCTGTCAGCGCTAAGGAACGCAACTCTGCAAGCGAACAGAGGTGCACTAGATACATTTGCAACCTGACGTTGAGATGTTGGTTCTGAATCCAATATTTGTTTTGATCTGTTGTGATATGCGGATAAAACGACATTAAACCACGAGTCTCACAGAACACTGCATGGCAGCTTGTTCTTCCTCAGCATGCAAATCCTGACTGGTAAATATCAGTGTTAGTAAGACTTCAGTCTGTCCCCTGTAACTCGATACTCTCCAAACCGTCGGTCGTCTAATTACAAAAATAGTTATTGAAGTCAGGCGGTTAGAAGATGAAGATACAACGCTGAACCATTATTTACAACTGACGAACGAACGTTAACGAATGTACGAACGAGCGAATCTTCTTGATTACCTCCAATTATGACGGAGAGTACATATTCAGTCTCGCACTCCGACTCCGACACACCTAATTTGCAACGAATTACCGAAATCACTCATTAATCAGTCTCGGTAATCCGACACAGTGATCAGTGTACTCTGTGGTCATCTGCCCGCGAATACACAGCGCGTGTTTTGATGCGAGACGAATCGGCTGGTAGCTGCATATTACAACGGCTGCAGAGATAAACTTGCTTAACAATAAACAATTAATGCTTTGAATAAAGACAACAGGATATATCACATGCTTAGATCACCTCAATCTGATTAAAATCAGATACAAGTTCTCGCTTTCGACGAGGACATCCCATTACAGGTCACGTCAGAACAATCTTTCGCGAACTATGACCTACCAATGAAATGACCAACAGGAAGTCGACGTTAGCCACTTAGAAAGCAGCTTTCTTAAACTTTAGCTACCAGTTTCAAACATGCGACTTCCATTCCAATAGAAGTAACATTAAATCTCTAATATCTTGTGTGACAAACACGTTATATATGTCTGTCACGGGCTCATTAATTAAAAATAATATATAAAAAACTGGACTTAATATACATCCCTGGCGTACAACACTAGATGCTAGGAAGCACTGTGTTTTAATACATTGTGTTTTAATACAAGCCTTTACCGATGAATACATATTTTTTAGAACTTGAAACAATTTTCCATGACATCCTTTGGTAAGAAGTAAATATAACATTTTTTTACATGATCGAAAGCTTTTTTGAAATCTACAAATGCACAATAAAAGCGACCCCTAGGTTTACATAAATATGTGGGACCTAAAGCTTGCAATATAAATACATTGTCAACCATTGGATAGTTTAGGCGAAAACCAGCCTGAGATTCAGATAGAAGATTATTCACATCCAACCAAACTCTGAGACGTTTTTCTATAGTAAAAGTAAACAGCTTCCCCGTTACATTTAAAACAGAAATAACCCTTGAATTACTAGGCTCAGACCTTGTACCCGATTTGTACAATGGTAACATCATACCCACGTTCCACGACTCCGGAAACAATCCAGTGTTCATAATTATATTGAATAATAATTTCAAATATGGTATCAGAATTTTGCCTGATAACCTATAAAATTCATCTGGTATTCCATCTTCACCGGCAGATTTACCAGCTTTCAGTTTTTGTAATGCACACTCGATCTCTTTCTGTGATATTTCACCTGAAAATAGATCATCTGTAAATGGTAACTCGTTGCAGTCTTCATATGAATGGGAATTTACAAACTGCGTTACATAGCAAACAAAGGGTTTGGCTTCCAAGTTATTAAACGCGGGGTTAAGTAGATCTTTAAAATAAGTGAACCAGATGTCTGGTGACAAGGAGTAACTAGATGTATTACCTCGTATCGCCCTTTTTAATGAATTCCAGAAACGTTTACAGTCTCCATGTTTAGAACTTTATATCATTACACAGTTTAGCATCGCATATGTTCTTTGTCTTTCTACAGCATTTCTTGTACTCAGATTTCGCATTGAGATAAAGGTGAGGTGAGGTGAGGTGAGGTGAGGGAAATTGGTTTTAACGTCGCGTCCAAGATTATTGCACTTCTATAGCGACGTGCATGTACGTGTGTGTGTTTGTGTGGCTGCTTGTGCTAGTCCGGACTGATGCCGATTTATAGTGCTAGCTCACTGAGATACCATGAGGTGAGGTGAAATTGGGTTTAACGTCGCGTCCAAGATTATTGCACTTATATAGCGACGTGCATGCACGTGTATGTGTGTGTGTGGCTGCTTGTACTAGTCCGGACTGATGCCGATTTATAGTGCTAGCTCACTGAGATACCATGCCACAGTTTAACATGAATAACCCACTCAGACACAGTATACTGACTCCGATCCGACCAATCCTTGTTTTAGCCCCTTAATGCCGAGCGCCAGACAGGGTAACAACAAGTACCATCTTTTAACGTTTTTTGGTATGACGCGGCCGGGGATCGAACCCCGGACCTTCCGCTCTCCGGGCGGACGCTCTACCACTGGACCACGGAGGCGGTCTGAGATAAAGGTGTAAATATTATTGACATCACATTTATATATTCTAAACTTGTTCAGCAACCTATATTTTCTAGATTTTAGATTAGTACACTCTATATCAAACCAGGGCGGTTGTTGCTTATCGTGCTTTGTAACTACATGGACATATGCTCCTGCATTTTTACCACAATGAATTAAAATATCTCTAAACTTTCCCACAGCAGTATCTAAATTATGTTCTAATAATATAGAAAATGTATTAAACATTTCTTTGCCCATAGTGCTGCATAAATATTTTTGACATGAAGTGATCTTATCTTCAGGGAGTCTGTATCTAACTATATGATTTATTTACAAATGAGTAGTTTCAGGCCGCTTATTGGGTTGACAAGCTGAAGGTAGGATTTCAGAGTACATAGGATTGGCAAATGGTCTGACTCAGTTTGCTGAAGAACCGACATATCTATTACATTTATGAAAATATCAGGAGAAATAATGAAATAACGCTGCATCCAGAATGTGATACATAAGTGAAATTGCCTATGATATCTGACCCGTGAATATTCCGGGGTAGAATAGGTCTTCAGCAACCCATGCTTGCCGTAAAAGGTGACTATGCTTGTCGTAAAAGGCGACAAACGGGATCGGGTGGTCAGGGTCGCTGACTTGGTTGATGCATGACATCGATCCCAATTGCATGGGTCGATGCTCATGATATTAATCACTGAATTGTCTGGTCCAGACTCGATTATCTACAGACCGCCGTCATATAGCTGGAATATTGCTGAGTGCGGCGTTAAACAACAAACCAACCAACCAACCTATGATAACTAGATTTAGTGTCACTGTGACCATTGCCATATACCTATCCTCATGACTGACTTGCGTCAGCTGGTGACTCGTTAGTCTCACTGCTGGAAGTGGTCCAGTTGCGACGTCTTCCAACCTGGTGAATATCTGAGATTTCATGGTCGTATATAAACACCGTACCATCGATAACCAACTATCATAGCTCATATAAGCGACTTTTTTTTGTCACTTCCAGCTGTCATCTTAAAGGGAATTAATTTCGATCTAATCTGCCACGCTCGCTCCGTAAAATCCTCAGACATATTCAATTGTTCGAATTTGTGCGAAAATATGTATTTACAAACAGAAACAGCAGATAATGAACACCCGTACCACAATAAAAACAACTAAATTTGAAATTTCAAACTTTTATTACTTGGCATTAGAGTTAAATTGTTGTAAAATGTCCATATTCATAGAAATGAGACACTTTGATTCACAAAAATTGAGTCAATCACAGAAAAAAACACTTGTACCTTAATAAATGGGTGGGGTGGGGTGGGGTGGGGTGAGGTGCTTGTACTAGTCCGGACTGATGCCGATTTATAGTGCTAGCACACTGAGATACCATGCCGCAGTTTAACATGAATACCCCACTCAGACACAGTATACTGACTCCGAGCCGACCAGTCCTTGTTTTAGACCCTTAATGCCGAGCGCCAGACAGGGTAACAACAAGTACCATCTTTTAACGTCTTTTGGTATGACGCGGCCGGGGATCAAACCCCGGACCTTACGCACTCCGGGTGGACGCTCTACCACAAGACCACGGAGGCGGTGCCAGCAGTGGGACATGTCACAGGATTTTCTCACGTGAGAGAAATCTCACGATATGCAATCTATTTACAACCTATTATCTGCCATTCTACCATGAATTTGGAACTTACTCGATTCTGATTGGTCAATCAGAGGCTATTAAATCACAATAAACCCCCTCTGATTGAAACAGCTGGTTTGACGGCCGATTCACCGCGGAAGCTAATATTCGTAGAATGGTACTATTTTCAGTCATTGTCGGCAGGCATATTAAAAAAATTATATCTACAATTACAGGTTACAAAATGCACAGAAGCGGTTAATACAATATACAAAGGATGTGTGGCAATACATTTTGTGCAGAAAAACACGACAGAAATCAACAAAGGGAATGTATTTACATTTTGGAGAGCTTGGAATTTTGGCGCTTTTCTATATACGACTGTGACGTCATATCTTTTGCGTAACAATGAGCGGCATGACGTCATAATGGTGACGTGCGATGTAGAGCGAAAGCCTTGCAAAGCTTGCTTTGTTTTCTTTACGGATGCCCACCTCATGTTTGCTTACCAAGTTGCCGTGCTTATATGCTTTCAATGCCTGTCATATGTTCGATTGAAGTATTACGGTATAAACAAACTGCTTGAGGATATACAGCACCATATTTTTTTTCCGGTGATTCCGTAATTCAGATCGATAACGCACTCAAAACACTGAACTCAACCCATGACGCTTCACTCAGTATATTTGCTAACACCAAAGAGTTCGCATTTTATTTAGTCATGGTAGAATGGAGATAAACATTCTGTGTTTTCAATGTAGAGCTAGGTTACCTGTAGATTTAACCCCGCTAAATTGAATTTGGAACCGAACGCGCAGCGTGAGGTTTCAAATGTTAAATTTAGCGGTAACACAGTATGTTTATCTCCTAATTCCAGGCTCCGCTAAACTGGTTTCGAATGCAAGATTCGTCCCTAATATTAAATACTAAATTTTGGTTGGTTGATTTGTTGTTTAACGCCGCACTCAGCAGTATTCCAGCTGTATGACGGCGGTCTGTAAATAATTGAGTCTGGAACAGACAATCCAGTGATTGACATCATGAGCATCATGCATCAACCAAGTCAGCAACCTGACCACCCGATCCCGTTAGTCACCTTTTACGACAAGCATAGTCACATTTTACGGCAAGCATGGGTTGCTGAAGACCTATTCTACCCCGGAATATTAAATTTTGTATCCTTGGTATATCATTACCGTGCACGAGATATACGGCTCTCATCTACGCAGCTTCGGGTCTATTCTCACAGTAAGTTGTCACGTTCTGATATACATGTCAATGTGGCGGTAAGCACAAGTCACTCTCTCACTGCTTGAGTGTCGCTACTGAGAAGGTCGATGTACAGAAGCAAGAACAATTCTGTAAACATCTAAGTTTGATTATTACAAAATTCATTCCAATTATATTTCACAACAATGTCATCAAGCACCTTTGGTACATATAGAATACAAACAAACCATACTGTTTATATTTAGCCTGTCCTGTACAGTGAACAATCAATCCGATCACACGCGGGGACGCTCACAGGTCGAGGCAAAGACTGCTTGGCCGATGACCAATATCACATACTGACAACTGAACCCAAAGACGTACCATTGCAACCAATGCTTGCCGTAAATGGCGACTAACGGGATCGGGTGGTCAGACTCACTGACTTGGTTGAAGCATGTCATCGATCCCAATTTCGTGGAGCGATGCTCATGATGTCAATCACTGGATCACAGATCGCCGTCATTTAGCTGGAATATTACTGACTGCGGCTTAAAACAACCAACCAAACAACCAACCACAACGACTGTGGTCTTTGTTAAAGATAAACAACTTTACTTGAAACAATAACACACTATTTTCACACAGTATGTCAAGTGAACAATTTAATTTTTGATTATGAAATTTAACGAAAACATTTTTTTCAGCAAATCCGGGAACTGTTCCATAAAGTAAAACGGTATCCTGGAATATAGTCGCAGATGATTTCATAAAAAAGGATAAACATCACCGGGGGTCAGGTCGGGGAAGACCTTCCCAGCTGTACGGAAGTTGAGTGAGTGTTTCTGTGAGAGATTCTCCCCAGTTACTACTTTGTAGTCCTGCACCATGACCGTGGAATATATTTATTTTATGAAAAAATAATAATCGAGAAATGCATACAAAAGCAAGTCTAGCCAGCTCAAGCTAGCTCTATTAAGGTGGTCAGAGAATGTGTTTTAGAAAATGTATTTGGACACTTACATGTGTCTAATTTCATTTCAAGATTGCCCTGATAGGAAGGCTCTGAAAATGTTTAGTCTCTGAAATCAGCATAGGGATTTTTTATATATTTTTAGAGTCAAGAAGGATATTGTGTAATATAAGATTTCAGAGACTAAATGTTAGTCTAACTACTTTGTTATGCCTAGAGTTAACCAATGCTGTTTGACGACAGCAGTTTTGCAGAGGCCACAGTTCATCAGCACACACGTGAAGGGATGGACTTCAGTTCCACTGCTGGGCTTGGGCTTCTCTGCTGACTATTTCATTTTACTCATAGATAATTACTTGCGTCTTTTTAATCTGAAGCATTACCATTATACGACATTGCCTAAAATATCTTTTTGATTCGGGAATAACTCGATCAGATTCAACAAATAATTAGATAATCGGTGAAGCACATGGGTTGAGTCCAACGTGTTTGATTAGGTTGTTTCGAAAATTTTAATACATACCGACAAACGAAGCCGAACAAAATATGTCTCTGTCTTTGATCAAACATGTTTACATCAATATACTTTACTCACAATGAAAGTATTTAGCAATATAAATTGTGCACACATTAACATATCGCTCCTGAAGATAATAACTAAAGTACTCACGGAAATGAAAAAAACCCTGTTTTTTTCGATCTCAGATTTTAAACAAATGCAATTAATATACAAAATATATAAATATTCAAACAACTCAATTAGTACTAATTGGGCCTTGGCACAAATACAGCGTATCAAAGGTTTTTATGTCTTTTTACACGTAAAAGTGTGTAAAAATATGAACAAAACAGACTATTGTGAAACTGAGCATAACCAGGTGTTAGTAGATCAAGGTGAATGTCCATGACCTATGACACCTTGACGACAGGTGGAAACAGGTGCTTGAAACCCACGTGCATGTGATATGTCAGTGGTAAGTGATTTGTGAGTGGCATTGTGGGATAGTGAATCATCGTCAAAATATCAGAACGTAAAAGTAACATATTCCCTTCTCAAACAACTTACATGTCATTATTATTATGTACATAAAAATAGCTGTTATTTTTATTGTTGTTTTGATAACTTTTTTCCAGGCTAATTTGCATAATGCCTATAGCCTGTTTCTGCCATGTCAATTTGGACTTAGTTTTATTTTTGAATGTTGAAAGTGCCTACAAATTACCTCCTGTAAAGTACATTTTGTATTGAGCACTGAGATAAAACTAGCAAATCCAGACTAGTACTTTTCCAGTTGTTATGTTATTTCGTTATTTACATCTACGTAATGCTTTGTGTCGATTATTAAATCCAGCAAAACAGGGTTTTTTTCATTTCCATGAGTACTTTACCGCGAAGAACTACAGTACCTCAACCTATTATCCATTACACGTGGACGAGTGGTACGAACACGATGCCTCTAGTTTTGAGGCCTCACGTTAACTCGTCCTTCAAGGGTGATGTTCCAGACGGCATCTCCATTACCAGAAACTTGGCGATCATTGAAGTCGCTACCCTGAAGGAAGAAACCTTCGGCAGACACCTTCTCAGATGTACCATCGTCGCCCGAGCACTGTAAACTAAGCAGCAGCCTTCAACTACCACGCCAAGACTTATTTGCTCGGCTTCACCCGCCCCCTAGAAACCCAAACGTTTCCACATGCAATCGTATGATTACCAACAGGTTGTTCTTTTCCTAGCCTGCTATTTAATCATCTTCATCATCATCATTTCGTCGTTGTTCGTCAGATTTTCTGTCTAATATGTATTGTGTTATGGGATCGACAATTCGGTGTTTCGAATTTTTAAATACACAAAATATTATATAATTGCATTAAAATTGCCATCTGGTTGGGTTTGGGAAAAAAAAAACTGCTTTCAAATAATTACTTTTTTTCCACTGTGATTCGGGTGTCAACACAATCATGCTCTTACGTCAATTCGATACCAGTGGTGGATCAGTCAGAATGAAGGATTGTAAAATGTCATGTTAGGATTCAAAATACGCCCTTCTTATTAGATGTATTTTATGTTTTCTGTTCTTCTTAGTAGATTTCTTTGTGTTTTCTGTTCAAATGTATGACCACACATACAATGTACTTTGAATCGTGAAGCAACCACAACTCCTAGTTTCCCACTATTATACAAATCGTTGTTTTGACAATGATAGTGTTACGAGTCGATTCCCAAATTGAAACACTAGGTTAACCCAGAAATCTGAACGTAAAAGAATTTAGTGTGAAACCAAGAAACAACTAACAAATGGTATACAATCAACAATTGCAATACACAATTAACGAGGTTTACAAATCAAAACATGTTTACTGCACATCAATTACAATTGCAGTACACAACAGAGTGGTAGTACAATATTCGATGGCATTATAAAATATAAGAGCTGTGGAAATCTCAATGAAAAGAATAATAATCACCTCGCTGCAACAGTGGTCAAACTTCCGAGACAGGCCTAGGCTGAACTCCACGTGTATAGTCTGGCCTGACCTAGCACTTACTAAACAGTTCCAGACCACCCCAGTGTCATTTGAACATCAGAAAAAATTCCACATGTTTCTATAACGCTTGACATCCATCCATGCTATTCCGGATAATTCGAGCATCTAAAAATAAACTTTCTCACCACTGCTTACATAAAACAGTACCACATTCCCGACAACTAACATCGTCCAAATACAATGCAATGAACTTCCATTGAATCTAAACAGAAACAGTGTAATACAATTACTATCAATGTGTAGCAATATTTACACTGACAAGATAGACACAATTTTATGGATAACAACTTCTTTAATACTCTAAAAAGCGACGTTTCGGTATAGATCCTAATACCGTTGTCAAGCAGGACTGAATGAGGGACATAGTGCAGAATATATATAGCTAGTGGAGGATTAACAGTAGAGGATTAACAGTAACAACAAGGGCATACATGAGTGGGATAACATAGGTAGGTGTGACAACAAGGATGATGCTATCACAACACGATGGACAGAAAACACATAGCTAGAAGCCAATGGGGCATGAAGCCAATAAACAGGTGATTATTGTTTGATGAGTTCATAGTAGGCGGATGGGATGAAATAGCCTTGATCTCTGTTGATTGTTGGGTTGTGGCGGCGAATGTGGACTGCTTCTGTTAGTTTTCTTTTGGTGAAATCATGGAGGTTGTTGGCGAGGATTTGGACGTTGTCCCAGTTGATGATGTGATTGGGACAGTTGATGATATGGTCCGAGATGGCTGATTTGCTGTCGGATTTGATGGTGGAGGTTTTATGCTCTCTGATTCTAGTGTTGATTGGGCGGGAGGTTTCACCTACGTAAGATTGCCCGCAGTTGCAGTCAACTTTGTAGACTACACCTTTAACCTCTTGGGGTTTAGATGTGTTCCTGCCGTTGGCTCTTAGCAGGGTGTTGAGGGAGTTGGAGCTGGTGAAGTGGGTGTCGATGTTGGCTTGCTGTTTGAGGAGGCGGCTGATGATGTGGGAGGCTTTTCCTATGAACGGAAGGGCGCTGATTCGGGTTTAAGGGCCGCATGTCTGGGTGTGGGATAGAGTACAGAGGCGATGACTTTGTCGACTAGTTTGGCCGGATAATTGTTGAGGTGGGTGAAGACTTGGCGGAGGTGTGCGATCTCAGGTTTGGGGTCAGCAGAGGAAAGGTTGATGGCACGTTTGGTAAGGGTGGAGATGATGCCAGTCTTGGTTCTGAGAGGGTGGTTAGAGTTGAAGTGGATATACTGGTCGGTGTGGGTGGGCTTCCGGTAGACACTGGTTTGGATTCTGTTAGCTGAGTTTCTACAAACGAGGACATCTAGGAAGGGTAGTTGGTTGTCCTTTTCTGTTTCGATGGTGAACTGTACTCGGGGGTGTTGTTGGTTAAGATGTTGTAGTAGCAGGGTTGGGTCTTGGTCTTGTTTGAGGATGACAAAGGTTTCGTCAACTTTCCTGTACCAGCAAATAGGTTGGATGGGTGATGTTGTGAGGGCTTGCTGTTCGAAGTGGGTCATGTAGATTTCAGTAAGGATAGGAGACAGTGGGGATCCCATGGGTAGGCCGTGTATCTGTTGATAATACTCGTCGCCCCAGGTGAAGTATGTGGTGGAGATACAGGCGGTGGTGAGGGCGATGATGGATTCGGTGGTTAAGCTGGTTTCAGGAGGGGTTTCAGTGATGCGACGGCGGAGAATTTGCAGAGTGTCATCTATGGGTACGTTGGTGAAGAGGTCTACTACATCGTAACTGATGATTTGATCTGGATTGGTGATGTTCTTGAGTTTGGAGCAGAAGTCCGTGGAGTCAGAGATGAAGGAGTCGGCTGTTTTTCCTAAGGGGGCAAGGATTGTGGTTAGGTGTTGGGCCGTTTTGTAGAAGACAGTGTCTCGGGAGCACACAAGAAGACGGGCTTTAGGAGGGTTCTTGTGGATTTTGATGGTGGCTCTGGCATAGGGTGGCTGGGGGTGATTGATGGAGAGTTGGTGGTGAAGAGCTTGGCTAATTTCAAAGTTGTCTTTAAGTTGTTTGAGGAGGGTTTTATGTTGGCGGAGGAGTTTGGTGGTTGGGTCCTTCTTGATCTTTGAGTAGGTGGTGGGGTCTTGGAGGATGTTGTTCACTAGCTCATGGAAGTGGTCAGTGTCCATGATGACTGTGGCCTTGCCCTTGTCAGCAGGGGCAATCTTGATGGTGTTGTCATCAGGGAGTTGTTTGAAGGCTTTTGTCTCAGCTCTGGTGAGGTTGGGGGTTTGTGATTTGGTTTTGCCAAGGATGTCACAGATCTGGTGACGTAGGTAGTCAACCTTACCTCCTGGTGCCAGTTGCTGAAGCCCTTTCTCGATGTTGGAGATGAAGTCATCGTGGTTCCGTAGTGGTCTGGTGGGGATGTACTTCAGGCCTTTGGACAGGACGTTGGTCTGATCTGTAGTAAGTTGCTTTTTACTGAGGTTGATGACAGTCTTACAGTGGTGCTGTTTTATTTTAAGTTGACTAGGGGTGTTGGTTTGGGGCTTCTCGGTAAGGAGTTGTTGAAACTTGTCGATGTGGTTGGCTTTGGTCTTCGTGTGTAGTTTGTTGTTGGCCTGGGTCTGGGCAGAGCGCAGTGAGGAGAAGGTGTCTGGCTGGAGGGTAGTGTTGAGCTGGTTGATGTGGTCAGAGATGTCTTTGAGGGAGATGGCCTTGATCTTGCGATGATGGCGGATTCGTTCCGTGATGAGGCGTTGGGAGGCGGTGCGAAGGATGGCTCTGGCGGCAGGAGAGTTGATGGGGGATCTGATCCTAAGGCCTTTAGGGACGATGTTTTGGTCTCTGCATCTCATGAGGAAAGTAAAGTGGTTACTGGTTAGAATGTGCTTTTTCAAAGGTTAAAGGTGTAGTCTACAAAGTTGACTGCAACTGCGGGCAATCTTACGTAGGTGAAACCTCCCGCCCAATCAACACTAGAATCAGAGAGCATAAAACCTCCACCATCAAATCCGACAGCAAATCAGCCATCTCGGACCATATCATCAACTGTCCCAATCACATCATCAACTGGGACAACGTCCAAATCCTCGCCAACAACCTCCATGATTTCACCAAAAGAAAACTAACAGAAGCAGTCCACATTCGCCGCCACAACCCAACAATCAACAGAGATCAAGGCTATTTCATCCCATCCGCCTACTATGAACTCATCAAACAATAATCACCTGTTTATTGGCTTCATGCCCCATTGGCTTCTAGCTATGTGTTTTCTGTCCATCGTGTTGTGATAGCATCATCCTTGTTGTCACACCTACCTATGTTATCCCACTCATGTATGCCCTTGTTGTTACTGTTAATCCTCTACTAGCTATATATATTCTGCACTATGTCCCTCATTCAGTCCTGCTTGACAACGGTATAAGGATCTATACCGAAACGTCGCTTTTTACAGTATTAAAGAAGTTGTTATCCATAAAATTGTGTCTATCTTGTCATCCGCCAACTTCTAAGTAATGCCTATCAAACAAACAATATTTACACTGTCATATAACAATAGTATCGATTGTTGGTCGAATTATGCTTTTGTAAACTGTTTCCAAATGAAATGAAAAATACTTTCACATAGCTGAATAGTTAAACTTTGATTCATTTTAAAAAGATCTCTTCTGACAGATATGTCAAAGACAATTTAACTGAACCACGGACTTCTTTTATTCGGGCATTTGTTTGTTTCTATTTGGTGTGACTTACGTTGTATATACCTGTACATTTGGCCCCCATTAGAAAAAAACAATATGTCAAAGATCCATGCAGATCATGGTGACACATCTTAACAGTGATCCTGAAAGGCCTTTACGATTCACTGTTACTGTGAAACACATTTACACAGTATTACATCTTTTTCCCTGGTTTTAAGACATACACGAGAACGGTAAATATATCAGGAACTGTCAGGAACATAAGGATGAGAACAATGAAAATGATGCCGACCCATCCCAGAGTAACTGCACTTGGTCTGTCATCAGGGATGCTGATTCTTTTACGTATAGTCTTGGATAGTATGGATTTATCCACAGCCAAAGCACTCTTTAACAAGTCTACATCTACCCAGGTATTTTCAAAAAGTTTGCAGCTGCAGTTGCAGAGAGCACTCGAAGCAAAGTAGACTGAAGGCACAGATGATGAAAATTGAAAACCAGAACTGACCATCTTATCAGTGATGCTGGTGGTGGATGTTGTGATAATATCAGCAGTAGACAAAGAAGCTACCGATGCTTCTCCCAGTGTTTTGTTCACTGTTTGATCAATCGATCTGGACTGTTCAGTGTTTGTGGCCATACTCGGTGCTGTTGTTTCAGAGGCGTACGTTGATGGATCATGTGTTGACACGCCCTGGCCTGAGGTGATCTGTGTTTCAACAGGGGAACTTGTGATGGAGGTACTTAATACTTCGACTGAGGTGATCTGTATTTCAAAAGGGGAACTTGTGAAGGAAGTGCTTAATGCTTCGACTGAGGTGATCTGTGTTTCAACAGGGGAACTTGTGATGGAGGTACTTAATCCTTCGACTGAGGTGATCTGTGTTTCAACAGGGGAACTTGTGATGGAGGTACTTAATGCTTCGACTGATAACACTGATGTACTCGACACACCAGGAGATTGATCTGAACTTTGGGCTGAAAGGGCTCTCGCACTGGTCGTTGGAACTGACTCCTCTGAACTTTGTGACAGTTTCATAAGGCTGTTTGATGTTTGAAGGGCAGTTGTATGCAGGGTTGGGACCAGACTATCTTCAGATGTGAGAATGCTGTTAACAGATCTCGTTGATGTTGCACTGGTGACAGTAGTTGAAGATGTTGTCACAGATGGCATGCAATCAGTCTGCAACACATTACCATTTATATTTCATATATATGTTAAATGCCTGATGGAAGCAAGAAAACAAAAAGCACTCGGTATCATAGAAATCATCTCAAAACTCTTGATTGTTAAGTTTAAAAAATAAATATATAAAATATAAATACACAGTTTGAACTTGAGTGAGTGAGTGAGTATGACGTGGCCGTGAACCACCGACTTTTCGCTCTCAAGTCCGACGCTCTATCCAGCAGACCACGGAGGTCCACCAAAATCGCGGCGGTGCCTTCAAGGCATTGTACCCACGTGAGACCGAGACGGGCGAATGCTTAAACAACTAGCTTTAGGCTACCCCACCGCCCTGAAAAGCCAGATCATACATAGAATATCAGCCGATTGTGCTTTCGTATCATAAATATCCTATATAAGGTTAAAACTGAATTGTGCGAGCCCAATATATATTGTTTTATACCTAATATATGATGTTAATGATACAAAAACACACGAGGATAATAAACTCTATTTCATATTATGATATTCTTAAAATAATTGAAGCTAAAAGATATTGCTATTCATAATGGTAACTTTAGAAACTGCGTTGTTGGAATACACAGCCTGAGAGGACCCCTCCATATATGATATAGTACCAAACGATTTTGCAGCCCTGTTTGCACCCATAATCACTCACACATCGGGAACCGCTATCCATTCATTTGGAGAATGTTATTCGATAGTTTTTGAGCAAGTAGACACCACATCGATATACAAAGCTTAATAAAAGTGGTTCTTGCTAGGTGACCTCATGGGCATTTTTGTCGGATTGAGATATAAATGTTATCGGACTAGTTTATGCAATTCATTATGTTAAAAGAAATTATACTTTTAACCAAAAGTGCCACATTGCAATAAGAAAGTTTAATACAATAGTGATCAGAGAGTAATTCCTGCCAGTATTGATTGGCAAATGATTTAAAAGTTTAGTTTGAAATATCAATATTGTGTCTTGAACACAATTTTAAATATTGAAAATCAAATGGTCACGTATTCAAGTAAATAAACAGTCAAAACATATATATTCCTAAAAATTGATAATGGTTACAAGTAAATACTGGTGACATTTGTGGTAAAGAAAAACTGAAAATATTTATCATATATATATATATATATATATCATATATTAATAAAAAAAACATGGTAACCTCCCCAAACTATATGTACCGCATGTCAGATAAGACGAATGTTATAACTCACATGATTTACTTGAAGATATCCTCCAAGTGCGAATGACATAGCTGTCTTGTACGCCTTTTGATAAATGTACCCTGAAAAGCCTTGGCACCTGACATCTGATGTTCCAATCCTGTAGGCTTGATTGGACAAAACAATAGTGCTCGACGAAAATTCTGTGTTTTGTATCCCTGACCACGTTGCTGATGGTATTTGATTCCCATCCAAACGTACAAGCCCAACACAGGATGTATTGGCGAATATTGTTACTGATGTGACAAAGTTAGTGGGAGTCAGATCAATGATTTCAAAATCATAGGACGTCTTCCATTGATCTATCGGAGGAACGAGAAGCATGCTTGGGTCTGTATCTGTCACAAATCGTTCAGGGCTCATGGTGAATTGAGCAACAATAATTCTTGAAGTTGAACTAAGATACAGAGACGTTCCCGAAGCAAGATTCAGAGTATGTCTGTTTCTGTACCCAATCGTGTAGGTGCTTCCTGAAGAATCTGTCACCTCAGCTGTGTTTTCTGCTGCCACGATTGTAACCAAATCTGATGATGACCGACCCGGAAATGACGTCACAACATAAGAACATCCCCATGTGTTAAGAGGGGGCATCTGTTCAACCATGAAGTCACCGAGCCCGTCGTTTTTCCATGGCATTATTGGTGTCCAGTCCGAACCAACAAAAACTGCCACTTTATCCAGTGATGTTATTATAGTTCCAGACATGTCGGTGGCAATCTGCAGCTGAAGGACTTGGTAAGCCTTGAGGCTGACCGTTAGGACATCACCGTCTCCATATTGACTCAGGTTATATGATAATGTGTATGGTTGGGCCAATTTAAACTGGACCCTTACAGAGGTATCGACAACAGCTGCTATAGCAACTTGACAGACGTACTCTTCACAGTATGTTGTAACCATGTATTCTGTTCCCAGAGAGCTGATTGGCAGAGCTTGAAACCCCCCAGTGCTGTCTCCATCTGCTGAAGAGAGACTCTGGCTGTAGCCCTGCACTGTAATGTCTCCATCACTCTCTATGAGGATTCCATTATTGCTGATCCCGGTTTGAAGAACATTAAGCTCACTGGCCACGTTGATCAAAGAAGAGTTTCCTTGGTAAACAGTTGTCGTCATTTGTGGCAGGAGATCCAGGCGTAACGGAGCTGATATCTTGACAGTAACGTCCACTGTGCTCATTGTTGTTATCACGAGATCCTGTTTACATGTATCGACGATGCTCTCAATGAACAAGACAAGAAACTTTTGCCCACTGTTGCTTGGCACTGTAAATTAGAACAGCATGAATGATTTTTTTTATTAACACAGCTTTGAACAGTATTCCAGTTGTAGAACGGCATGACAGCTTAATGTGGGATGAAATCCATCTGTGATGCATGCGTTTGACGTTTACTACGCAGGGGCAACCCACGAGCACGGCTATGGTGCTGAGAACCTAGACACATTATCTGAGAGAATAAGGGATTCGAACTAGCATAAGTTTCTAGCATGGCTAAGGGACGCAAGTCTGCATAGTGAGCTGCGGCACATTAGACATCAACCAAGTCAGCGAGTGTGACCACCCGTTCCCGTTAGTCGTAAGAGGCTCAGTCGTAAGTGGTCAGGCTCGCTGACTTGGTTGATGCATGTCATCGATCCCAATTGCTTGGATCGATGCTCATGAAATTAATCACTGTGTCTGGTCCAGACTCGATTATTTACAGACCGCCCTCATATAGCTGGAATATTACTGAGTGTGGCGTTAAACGAACAAACCAACCAACTAACCAAAGAGTGAGATACCCCTTCACACCCCACCCCCTTCCATGTAGACAAATCCCGATGAAATTGGTGAGGCACGTTTTGTTTGATGCCACAATTAGCGGTCGAAAATGGGCCAAGAAAGCAAGTAGATAACATGCAATCACCAGGTCAAACATTGTGACCACCCCCTCCTTAGAATCTGAGTCAGTGTCAGCGGCCCATTATACCCTAGAACTCCCATCGGGTGATTACTCCTAATTTTCTATCAGCTTTAGCAAAAATGGTTACTGAGACATTAATCAAACTAAATATCTGGAATTTCTGGGCTCGATCGTTAGTTTCTTCAACCAATGATTTATTGATGAGACAACTGGCAGCCTTGTATTCGGCCAGTGTAGATGGATACTTGTGCAGCTGATGGGTGGTTTGTCTTTCATCTGTGATGATGCTGACTAAGACCATGGGTGAGTGAGTGAGTTAACATAGACGGGAAGATGTTAAAAAACCGGCTCTATGCATAAATCAAGCAAGTGTCCTGTGAATGGCGTGGCCCTAACAGCTTACCTTTGGCGGTAAAGATTTAGGTGGCATTGGCATCAATGCCATCTTTTGTCACTATTTGTCAGTATTTTTGTCCATTTACCTATGGCCGAACATTTAGGAGCGTATGAAGCATAGGATAAACAGTAACCTTGTCGTACACGATTTCAAGGGCAGTGAAATCTATGAACAGCACTTACGATTATTTCACACTTTAGATATTACTTGAAAACAATGAACTTATTTACACCTGAATGCTTGTGTGCTCTATTATTTCATGACCTGCGTCATGAATGAACATTTGGCGGCCAAGTGATGCAAACATTTCAAACGTTGGACCTCGGATTACATGTTCATTTTCTAGAGTACATAAATTTGTGAAATACTGTCACTTCGTGTCGTGCATCATATTCTCATTTAAAAAAACAGCTGGATTCATGAGACCGAGGTGATCGACTGAGGTTGATTGGCAGTATAAATTGTGTCACCCTTGATGAGATTCATGTTTCAATATCGATTTTTGACGTAGGTTGTGCCCAGTTTTTCCTGCACATGTATCGATGAGAACCCAACTGGTGAGGGAGAGTATGATGTTTAGTAGTATAGGTAATGGTGATTCTACCGCAACTCCGCTGGAGTCAGATTTATACCCCAATACCTATACTACAGGGGTAATTTTTTATGCAAAACCCACGATGCACACAAATAATCGTCATGAGACTAAGCTAAACTGTAATGAAAAGGGCTCACCACCACCTGAACCTTTCCGAACCCTATCAATGCTTCTTTGATATAATATTTTATAGGTAATGGTGATTCTACCGCAACTCCAGTGGAGCTAGATTTACATCCTGATACCTACACTACAGGGGTAATTTTTTATGCAAAGACGACGATGTGATTCAATGATCGGCATGAATCGTATTAAAGGAAACATCAATAATAAATAATAATGGATAAAATCTACTATAGCCTGCGAGGATATTGGGAAGGTATAGGAGCAATACAAAAAATAGCCACTGCGGCTAAGGTATCTAAAGATGTGGCCAAGGATTGGTTAAAGAAACAAGCGATGTGGCAAATACATTTACCTGCCCGCGTTATGTACCGAGGAAGAAGTTTGATATTTTTACAACGAATGAAGTTTATCAGGCTGACCTCTTGTTTCTTCCTCACGATAAGGTAAGATGCAAAACATATAAATATGCTTTAACCGTAGTGGATGTTGCTAGTCGGTACAAAGAGGCTGAGCCATTAACCTCGAAAGATTTAAAAGAAGTAGCTGATGCACTGAGCCTATAAATGGCCTAAGATGTTTCAAGTTGATCCTGGTCGCTAGTTTATGGGATCAGTAACTAAACTATTACCAAAGCACTATGCCAAAAGGTGTGGTGAAAAAGAGGCCCACCGTAGTCAAGCTATTGTTGAAAGATTTAACCAGACATTAGCAGAACGTTTGTTTGGATATCAGTATGGGATTGAAATGAAATCGGATCGATTAAGATCAATGGAATGGGTGACACGATAACCAGCTGTTGTATCAGCCCTGTATAATGAAGTAACGAGATTAATCGGGAAGAAACCATCCGATGCGATTAAAATTAAATCTGTGACTACCGAATCTTCAGCACAGCGGAGAGATAATGAACAAAAACTTTTAGAGTAAGCATAAGATATTTATATCAGCCCGGTGAGCTCGAAGGAGGCCAACGTCGTGCATCTGATCCGATTTGGTCTCTTAAGATATATAACATTAGTTGGTTGGTTATAAAAGCAGGTGAGCCTATTCTTTATTATCTTAAAGGTGGACGGGGCAGGGGATTTGTACGAGAAGAGTTGCTCATGATTCCCAGAGATACAGTAATACCACCATAACCATAAGCATAGGTAGTTACACCATCCTTATCAATCCATCTCTTTGTATCTAAGGGGACAATGATGTCTTGTTCATTCTTAATCCTTATATCATGTGATTGACACTTCTTAAAGTGTTCATCTCGTGTTTGAACGTTCTACCATTGAATAATGCTTCTTTATACTCTTCGTGTTTGATATGCTTTTAACCACATACTTCTTAAAGCCTTTAGCTTTTCTTATCTCCCCATTATCAGAGGTTTTTTTTATAGCATATATCTTAGGTCTTAATCCAACATACCAATAATCCATACCATCTTAATCCAATAGGAGTTCCAGCACATTCATCCTTCATCTTACCTAATACCTTTTTATTTAGTACGCTGTGCAGTGGATTATCTTTTGGGTAATCGCTCGTATCGTACATATCTATTTTTTGTCATATCTTTATACACATCCTCGGTTTGTATTTCAATCAACAAAGAATCAGTATCGGCATATAACACCTCGCATCTATCGCCGTATTGCTTCTTAAGTTCGTTGTAATAAAAGTCATGCATTAAGTGTTTTGACAAGTCAAGAATACTCATGCCAACGTACACCGGTCTTTTGAATATTATATTACTCTTCTGCATATGTGTGGGGCGGTCGAGTAGCCTAGTGGTTAAAGCGTTCGCTCGTCACGCCGAAGACCCGGGTTCGATTCTCGACATGGGTACTATGTGTGAAGCCCATTTCTGGTGTCCCCCGCCGTGATATTGCTGGAATATTGCTAAAAGCGGCGTAAAACCATACTTACTCACTTACTCTGCATATGTAGTGTGGCGAAGTCGTTATCTTACTTCTATTAAAAGCCGGGCTGGCCATAAGTTTCCTAAGTCTTTCTGCCTCATTAGATATCTGGTTTTTGTTTATCGGTAGCAACCACAATTTTATTATTATACCCTATCACTTGGCCGATCTTAAGTTTCATATTACTCGGGGACATGTATAATGTATAGTGGGATCGTACTCGGGGACATGTATAATGTATAGTGGGATCGTACTCGGGGACATGTATAATGCATAGTGGGATCGTACTCGGGGACATGTATAATGTATAGTGGGATCGTACTCGGGGACATGTATAATGTATAGTGGGATCGTACTCGGGGACATGTATAATGCATAGTGGGATCGTACTCGGGGACATGTATAATGTATAGTGGGATCGTACTCGGGGACATGTATAATGTATAGTTGGATCGTACTCGGGGACATGTATGATGTATAGTGGGATCGTACTCGGGGACATGTATAATGCATAGTGGGATCGTACTCGGGGACATATATAATGTATAGTGGGATCGTACTCGGGGACATGTATAATGCATAGTGGGATCGTACTCGGGGACATTTATAATGTATAGTGGGATCGTACTCGGGGACATGTATAATGCATAGTGGGATCGTACTCGGGGACATGTATAATGTATAGTGGGATCGTACTCGGGGACATGTATGATGTATAGTGGGATCGTACTCGGGGACATGTATAATGTATAGTGGGATCGTACTCGGGGACATGTATAATGTATAGTGGGATCGTACTCGGGGACATGTATAATGCATAGTGGGATCGTACTCGGGGACATGTATAATGTATAGTGGGATCGTACTCGGGGACATGTATAATGCATAGTGGGATCGTACTCGGGGACATGTATAATGCATAGTGGGATCGTACTCGGGGACATGTATAATGTATGGTGGGATCGTACTCGGGGACATGTATAATGCATAGTGGGATCGTCCTCGGGGACATGTATAATGTATAGTGGGATCGTACTCGGGGACATGTATAATGTATGGTGGGATCGTACTCGGGGACATGTATAATGCATAGTGGGATCGTACTCGGGGACATGTATAATGCATAGTGGGATCGTACTCGGGGACATGTATAATGCATAGTGGGATCGTACTCGGGGACATGTATAATGCATAGTGGGATCGTACTCGGGGACATGTATAATGTATAGTGGGATCGTACTCGGGGACATGTATAATGCATAGTGGGATCGTACTCGGGGACATGTATAATGCATAGTGGGATCGTACTCGGGGACATGTATAATGCATAGTGGGATCGTACTCGGGGACATGTATAATGTATAGTGGGATCGTACTCGGGGACATGTATAATGTATAGTGGGATCGTACTCGGGGACATGTATAATGTATAGTGGGATCGTACTCGGGGACATGTATAATGTATAGTGGGATCGTACTCGGGGACATGTATAATGCATAGTGGGATCGTACTCGGGGACATGTATAATGTATGGTGGGATCGTACTCGGGGACATGTATAATGCATAGTGGGATCGTACTCGGGGACATGTATAATGCATAGTGGGATCGTACTCGGGGACATGTATAATGCATAGTGGGATCGTACTCGGGGACATGTATAATGCATAGTGGGATCGTACTCGGGGACATGTATAATGTATAGTGGGATCGTACTCGGGGACATGTATAATGCATAGTGGGATCGTACTCGGGGCTTATATCCCCTCAAAAAGAAAGAGTGTGTTAGTGGCTCCCCTGCCAGATGACCCAGGCTATATGTTATTGAGTCGCCCATCATTAAAAGATGTTAACTTAAATTTGGTTACTGAATTCGATGATATATTAAATAACTTGAATGCTATACCTGGTATTTCTACACTTATGATTAAAGTCTTGTTGGGTGATGCGCCAGACGATGGCCTAGAGATATTGCCAGGACTTAGAATTAAATGGCTTAAAAAACATCAACGTCAACGTTGTAGTAATATTATTTCTCTACGATTAGCGCCCGTTGCAACACTTGGGGGGGGGGGGGGGGGGGGGGGGGGGGGTTCAAGTTAACACTAAGTTAATACTAAGATATTTATGCCATATAATATACATCTAATAAGGCTGATGTATACTCTCAAGTCATTATCAGCCAACCGTTTACACACTCTTATGTCACAATATATATTATGGGTTTATATCCGGTGCTCGATGAAGCATC